ACATTTTGACTTAGCTCCCTCTTTACCACTAAATGAAGAGTTCAGTCTGTGTGTGGTGTTTACATATGTACATTTTCTGCAATGAGAGATTCCCTAAGAGAGACAGCCACGTATGTCATTTTTAGTTGGAACATTTCTGTCAGCTATAAATATGCTTGGAACTCAAGATGGTATTTGACATCCCAGTGCTTTCAGTACACTTTCTAGAGCCCAAGAGCTGATGTCCCACCTTCACTTTAGTGGGTATTTGGTTGCTAGGAAGTTGTAACTTTGTCTATGTTAAAAGTGCTCTTGTTTGAAAGTTTAACCTTCTTATTTTTCCTCTAGGCAAGGTCACTGATGAAGGACTTCTACTTTCACATGCTTTTAATCTGACTAAAAATTGATTCTTCACAGTTGTCATCTTATCCTCCGTAGCATTATATATGTATGTTGTTTGTATGACCATAATATTAGTTGACTCATTAATTACGCATGTGACCCTGGGTTTTCTAAGTGTTTTCATTTCGCTGGGTTATTTCCTCTTCTCTAAGTGAGGAGTGGGGCCAAGCACTCACCATGGTCATTTGCAGACCTAGTGGCCTTCTGCCCTCCTGGCCCACAACGCCCTCTCCCCCCAGGACTCTAGTCCAGGCCTCCTCAGTGCATGACCGGAGGGTAACCTGCTTAAATCACTCAAGGCATCAGCAGTCCCACATTTTAAATAGGACAAAGGATCCTGCTCCTTCTCTGCCACAGAAATATGGTATGAGAGTTAATGAGCAAAAATGTTTGCAAAGCACTTGGGAATGCCTCAAAGGAAAGTACTCTGTCTAATAATTAAGGGGCCATGTTGGTGGAGCACAGGCAGTTCAGGAATTGTCTTATGAAATCGGGTGCATTTTCAGATTAGTCAGGTGTCCACAATTTTCATTTCTCTATGTATGGATTTGAAACAATATCATTCAGTAGAAAAGTTAGTATTTTCCCTCTTCATTATTTTCCTGCATTATTACGTAGTGATTCCAAAATGACTTTCAAAATTATGCATGAAATGGATGTGGTCTGCTGATTGCTGTTATCAATGTGGAGAAATGAAAAGAGCAGATGAGTGGTAGGCTTTCCAGGAGAGTCTGGCCAGGAATGGCAAATCCTATTTATTAGAAAGAGACACAAAGTACATAGTAGGCTCTGGAATCAGAGCATGCGGGCAAGCCCCCTTCACTTTAAAAATGACCCATTATAGGGTCTTATGGAGATGCAGGAATCAGATGTAAATTCTATTGTCTTGGCTGAGTGACTTAGGCATACCACTTAACCTCTCTAAAGCCTCAGTTTCCTTATCTGTAATTTGAGAATAACACAGCAAGTACTTGTCTTGAAAATTAAAGAGATAAAACACGGACCACAAAACACAGGATCCCTTTAAGAAACATTAAACCGTTCCCGTCAGCATAAAGGAAGTGACAAGTGAAACCAAATGAGAAAACATTTGCAAGTCATGGATTAAGGATAAAACTGGTTCTGATAATCAATAAAGCAAAGATTGATACTGCAGCTATGTACTTCAGAGTTGAGTATAGTCTACCCTCAGTTACACGTGCTAATTTAAACTAATGATTTTGTGACTAGTATGCCTACAATTAGCTTAGACAGAGGAGTTCTTAGAAAAGCAGCAACTGAGCCCTGGAGGCCCAGAAACTAGACAATGAGTGGAGAAATGGAGGGGAGGAGGGTCCTTTACAGTTCCAGTGGGAGGAGGAGTGGAACGTGCATATGCTCATCTCTATTTTTTTGCTGCCTAATCTTAAAAAGTCGCTTTTCCACTCCTTTTCAAGAACCAGCAGTAACGTTCACTCTACGGTGACTGCTAAGTAAAAAATGGAGAGGAAGAAAGATACTGTTAGGTTATTAGCTACAGAGGGTTCTGCACACAGTGTGAGTGAAAGATACTTCAATGCATCATGACACCCCAATGTGGTTAGTGATGTCTATATTGGGGGCTTAGCAATACCTCATTTATTCTATGGATTCTTTCTCATTCTACCCAAGCTATTTCTGGGCTAAGAAAGGACAGTGAATGCTGTTCTCAGGGCATGCTTGAGAAGCACTGTTCCTACCAAGCCCTCCTATATTCTCAGATTTTCCATATTCTGTTCCAGCACAACAGCCTCCTCTTCAGGAAAGTACAGTGAGGGGTCAGAAAGCTAACACCAGGTGCTTGGTGAGAAGGTAGGTAGCAGGCAGGAAGAAGGAAAGCAGGAAGTAAGCATAGGGCGGGGGGAGTGGCTACTGCCAGGAAAGCGGAAGTGGGTCTTAGAATTCAGGTTCTCTGAATGGAGAAACAGACTGAGACCGAAAAGGGAAAAGGTTCAGTAACAGCAATGCTCACAGGGGCTCATTAGAGCTTTACTGGCCTCAGAGCTTGCCGTCTTCCAGAACAGTCTAGCTCAAAGAGGCCTACACACCTGACACCTGGTGAGTATGACTGCTTGCCAGCCCCCCTCTCCAGTTCCTGGGATGTGAGTGACCCTGCTGCCAGTTTGCTCTGTGAGGCTCTCTAGTGGACGCACAGCCTACTGGGGATGCAATGAATTCACAAAGTATCTGTAGCTTCAGTAAAATATTTTGGCGTGAAGATGAATCTGAGGATCATAGAGAACTTCCTTCATATTATTTGACTTTTCTTACAACTTTATGTGTGTGGTAGAAACACCCCAGAATAGGTGGAACAACGTACTGAAGGTCATCCAACAAGTCAGTAGTGACAGAGCATGTTGCCAGCCCACCAGATTATCTCCTTTTTTGCTTTATGATTATTCTGTGTAATGTATGATGCTGCCATTACACATTACATACATGTTCCTGAAAGGCTCTGCTACTTTTATTATAATAAGATATTATAACACATTACATACATGTTCCTGAAAGGCTCTGCTACTTTTACAACATTTGTGTTTAAGGGCATTTAACATTCATTATATAATCTGATTTTTAGAGCAATCATGTAAGATCTGTATCTTATGTGACAAAATATCAAGAACCTGATTGATTTTAGTATTTCACCTAATCTCATTCAGAAAGTGCTACAGCCTGGCTTTCTTACTTCAAACCTTGTATTTGTTTGTTACTCCACAGCCAAAGCTTTACATGAGAATTATCACATTATCATGATCTCACTGTTATTACTCAACTTATGACAGTTATGTCACTATTCTTGCTGTATCTATTTATATCAAATCCATAGCTGAAAAATCTGGACTGCTCAAAGTAACAAACAAAATTAGCATATGTGCAGAGGATAAAGAGTCACCAACAAAGGGTTGTTGATAACCTGAAAAAAACCAAACATCTACCACTTTTTGGTGAAGAAAACAGAAGCGGGAATGCAGATAAAGTCAATTCCCTGGCAAATATCAAAAGAAAAAGGAAAAGAAATTTGTCTTGCTGAGAAAATATTGCATTTACAGATAAGTCCCTTGAATTAAATTCTCCTGGAAAGCATGTCCCCCATTTTGGAACATTCATTCCCTTACTCAACAAATATTTGTTAAGCAACTACATATACTAGTCTCTATTCCTCTATAAATTTTAAAACAAAAAGTCCAGAGTTAGGATCTAAAAAGCACTGCCTGGATAGCATGGCCAGATAAAAATACACACATCCAGATAAATCTAAATTTCAAATAAATAATAAATAATATTTTAGTATAAGTATGGCATAAGTATTACATGGAACATACTTGGACTAAAAATATACTTGTTTATGCAAATTTCAAATATAACTGGGCATCCTGTATTTCTGTTTTCTAAATATGGCAACCCTAAATCTGGTACTCTCTAAATAAGCCTAATGCCATCCTGGTCAATCTTACTATTAAGTATGCTATTTTGTTATACAGAGCAAGGTAAGAACAAATAGAGCATGGTACCTGAAACAAGCCCATATTACTGTAGAAAGTATTTAATATATAAATATGCAAAGTATTTTGCATTAGCTCAGTGGAACTATACGTCACACAATAAACAGCTCTGGGGAAACAGACTAGTTACCTTTTTTAGAAGTGATTAGACATCCTTATGGCAGGACTGAATTCAATTTTTGGTCAAATATTTATTATATATAAGATATTATGCTGGATATATTGAAGTACAAATCAACCTGTCTGTCTGCCTATCTATCTACCTACCGACCTACCTACCTATCTGATTGTTTCTTCTTTTACAGAGTTCACATTTTAACACCCATATAATGATAATACAAGCCAAGTGCTGTCAAGTGCCAGAAAGAGTACATTCGTCATGGTACCTTTGCAGTCTAGGAGACTTAGTTTACTCTCAAGGGTGAGGGGTGAACTTCCCGTGTCTTATATTGCCTCCAAATAAAACTTACTTACTGTGAAGTCAACCCATTATCCTTAACTCTGGTTTACTTTTCTCAGATACGAAGATTCTTACTGGGGAAATATTAGAGAGCAATTTTATGTAGAGAAGCAATCTGGTGCTGTCCTCCTCTGAATCACTCAGTCCCTCTAGGGAAGTGATTCCCAAATTAGTGTAAGTCAGGACCTGTTGAATCACCAGCTTTTGATTCAGGTCTGAGATAGGTCTGAAAGTTTGCATGTTGCTGGTACTGGGAATCACACTTTGACCACCACTGCTCTTAGATTATTTTTGAATTTTCTCTATTGCTTGCCTTTCACATTCACATTGACACCAAAGCTTATCCTTCTTTGTCCCCTGTCTTTCTCCTTCATCCCATTTCCTTTTGTTTTTTCTCTTGAGGAGAGTGGGCACAGAAGAGTCATACTTTGTTTCATGGCAGGATGGTATTATTTACATTTTTCTCTAATTTTCTTGTTTCCAAATACATCCTTAGCTTTTGGTTTCCTTTCTCATAACTTTTATGAAGCTTTAGTAAAGGAACATGAGAAACTCTAGACGAAATGAAGTTCTACTGTGGTTTATTTGGTAGTAGATAAAGTGTTTAGGTGTGAGATTTTCTTTTGCTTTTTAAAAAATCATTAAGGAATAAAAAATGTTCATTTTATGAAGGAAGTTCAAGGGAAACCCAAAGAGTATTATATTGCTGCAGTATTTGAATTTCATAGATGAAGGAACCACATTTGCAGCTTATTATTCAGAGGTGGGAGACAGAGCAAGGAGACTCAATGTCTTGTTGGGTGGAGGGGGCTAAAGTGACGTAATGACAATTTTTTAAAAAAGTATTAAGTAGTACTTTGTCTTTTATGAAAAGCTCTTATACCTTTATAGCTACTCAAAAGGCAAGAAAATTATTTCCATTTTAAACTCAAAGAAATTGAGGGTTATAAAATTAAGTGACTTGCTTAAGGCCACACATCCAATTAGAGGAACCAAAACTAAATCCAAATAATATAATTCAGTACATTCATCTTTCATGTATGTACTCACCTAAGTTTTAGAGTTATAATCATTATGGAATATGCTTTATAACCAGGGCTCCTTAGTTCTTGAAGGTAGAGCTTAGCCCCCAATGTGGACATGATATATCTCTTATTTGTCTCAAACACTTGCTTTCAATAAATTTGTGGATCATTAGTACAAAGCTACATAGGATTTTTTTTTTTTGGAATCCAGATCTCAGAATTGATTCTCTGCAGTTGATGAAAGCAAGTATTATTTACATTAAACCTTGGAGTTATTGAAGTGCTTGCTAAGCCAGTGGTGATACAGAAAACCCAAATTTCTTTCCTTTTATCTCTGTCAACTTTTCTTGCTAGAATTTCTTTTCAATTAGATTATAGGTAAGATTAATGAAGCTGTCTCTACTCTTCTAAGTATGTTCAGTTCTTTCTAGAATCTCTTTAAACCAACATTTGGCCTTTTTGCTTTGGATTTTTATGATTTCCCCTTGGCTGCTGTATAGTTGGGAAGTTCCCTTCTTTTTTTTTTTAATACTTTCCTTTCCCCAAGATATTGGATAGAACTTTGTTTTGAAATGTGGGCCACAGTGAACCCAGGTCTTGCATTACTTCCATATGTTCAGTCTCTCTTGCTTTTTGGAACTCTAGACCAATTGTTCTTTAAACTTTGTTTGGTTATGAACTCCCTTAGTTAGACAAAAGTTTTGATAAATGGCTCTCTTCTAAACTGCCATTGCTAAATAATTCTGTGGTGAAAGGGATGAGTTTTGCTTCTTTTAAATAGGTGCTTCAGTGATATGTATATATATACACACACACACATTATCGATTATTCCCAGATGTGGCAGTGTTATAAACATCCATACAAAAAACATAACTCACTGAGAACCTGCATAATTTACTGGAGATCTGAAGGCTACACTTTGAGTTAATTCAGGCTTATAAATGACTTTACTTGAGCTTTCGTATCTATGATGTCTACATGTGCAAACCCATTACTGGTTTTCTCATGGGTAAATCTAGTTATTTGGGTTAACCACAGAATCCTTTGGTGAATTCATTGGGTAAAAAAGACAAATTTTGGTAATGCACTCAAAATTTTATGGTGCAAATGTAAATTCTTATTTCAACACATGATCTAAAATAAATGCAAATTCTGTATCTGCTAGGTCTTGTGGAGGAAATGCATGAAAGGGGACAGTAGAAATATTTATGGATTTTAAGACCAGCGAAGTCAACTTTGGCTAAGTAGATACTTGTGTAAATTGGTCTCTTTTTAGCCCTAATTCTTAATATGAAGGTTTATAGAACAGCTACTCAGTTGAAGAAAGAAAATAAACTATATGAGAGCGTTCTGTAAGCCAATTGTCACATAAATAAAAATGTTACTATTTGTCAAATAATGATAATACCTGTACCACAGGAAAATTTACCTTGATTGATCTGATTACTAGTGCATTCACATTTACCCTAAGTAAACGATAACCTACCACTACCTGATATTCTTCCTAAATTCAATAGTGAGTCATATGCTTATTTTAGAGTATGAAAACTATCATCTTTAAGAACAACTGATTCACATAACAGCGTGCACACAGATTTATACAGTGCCCTGACTTGTGCTGAACTGCAAAGAAGGCAGAGTTTATCCTAAGCAATGATTTCAGTTGGGTACTTCCAGGCTTGGTACCTTGTCTGAGTGTCTGGTGCTCTGCTTCCCTTCTACCCCCCAATTTAAATTCATGTGCTTTATGTCCTATTCCTTAGATTCCTGTTAGCTTGAGAAACAACGTTGCTTTGAGGAACTATTTTATTTTCATGTATTGTAACTCAAGTATGCACCTTTCCCCTGGAAATTTATTTATCATTTAATAGTGTAGTCTGATACCAGAGATTTATCACAGGAGTGACTCTGATGATAGGCATTGCAAACTCAGTGGCCATCGCTGGGATAGGTAGGCATTATTTGGTACAAGGAAATCTCTAAAATTATACTTACAGTGACTTAAATGGAAGCCTATCAATAGAGCTTCTAATTCTATGTCTGCTTTATTATGGGGCAATGGCTGGGAGGTCTGGAGATCTTAGCGCTAGAATCAGAGAATCTGGGAGGAAACACCATCTTGCCCAACTGCTCACCTGATGATTGAGTGCCTTCTATGAGATCCCCAGAAAATGATCATAGATTCTCTCCTTGAACACCTCTAATTACGCGAATTCATTTCCTGTGGAGGTAAGCTATCCCTTCTTATAGCAGCTCTGACAGCTAACAAATTTTTCCTTTTACTTGGTTGAAAGAATCCATAGTTTCCAGTTCTACCATTTATAGTCAAATAGAACAAACATAGTATCTCTTCCCTCTTAACCATTTAAATAATGTTAATAATGCTAGCAGCAGCGACCATCTATAGAATGCTTACTAGTACCAGGAATTTTTAAAAGAACTTCACATATATTATGTCATTCAAACCTCAAAACAGCACTATAAGAAAGTTTTATCACTATTATTCCCATTTTACAGACAAGGAAAACTGAAGTATAGAAAAATCAAGTAATTTTCCCAAGATGACAGTTCAGTAGTGGTTAAGTCTACATTTAAGCCCAGGCAGCCTGGACCCAGAGTGCCAGTGTAACTACTACACTATGCTGCCCTTGAAGCATACATGACACGACTCACAAAACACCAAGAGTCTTCTCTTCTGCAGGCTGAACATCCCTAAGACCTTCAACTCACTCACATATCATAGTCTTGTGTCCCTTCACCATCCTAATCATATTCCTCATAATCATGTCCCAGCTAGCCTGTCACTTTTCAAAAAGGTAGTACCCAGTGTAGACTGTGGTCTCTAGATGTGGAAAACAGATAAGCAATAGAAAGTAAAGTGAGTCTAGCACTTCTCTTCATTTCAGGGACCACAGATATGGCTTAAGCTTGCATCAGCCTTGTTTTAACCTTTTCAAGCTGAATTTACTGCAGATTAAAACTCTCTTCCCAGCTTTGCCTATATGACTTTGGGCTGTAATGAGGTGACTGGAATATATGGTCTCCAAGAAGTTCTCCAGTTTTAAACAACCTAGATCAAAGAAAGTATTACATAGTTCAATGGATTTAAGGGATACTGTGCCTGAAAATTCTTTATTATTAGACTTTTCCATTTGGCCCTTCTTGCTCCATAAAGGGTTTTTGTGACTTTGTCTTTTGGTGGCAGGGTCCTGCCCTTAGAGGGCATAGCTGGGCTTCTAGAAGATGGCTGACAGTGGGGTCTCCTTAACATCTGAAAGGTCAACAAACCTTCCCTCTACCTCTGTCCTGTCCTGTCCCTCCCTTCCCACACCTCCCTCACCCTTGCCCAGCTGCCAGGCCTCCAGGGACACCTGCACTCACCTGTGTGTACGAACATGTGCTTGACGTAGTTCTGTTTGGCGGTGAAAGTCTTGTTGCAGAGAGTGCACTCATAAGGCTTTTTTTCACCCTGCCCACTGGCTGTGCTGTGGCCAGCAGATGGGGCCAGGGGCTGTGGTGCTGGCAGCTGTGCAGTAAAGGTCGACAGGCCTGGCTGGGACACTGTCACAAACTGGGTCTGCTGGCCTGCCAGGGGCTGTGGCAGGCTGAAGAGGAAAGGCTTGGGGCCGCTGCCCGCGGGCTGGGTAGTGAAGAGGGCCGGCAGGTAGGTGTTGCCGGCTGTGCCAATGACCTGTGTGTTGCTGGTCAAGGTCAGAGGCATCCTCAGGTTGCTGGTGAGGGTTTCTGTCTGGCGTAAGTAGAGCTGGGTACTTGGCAATGGCTGCCCAATGGACGTGTTGATCGAAGGCTGCTGCAGGACACTCTTGTCGGAGCTGTTGCTGACAGTGATGACAGTGCTGTCCATCTCTACCTCATTGCTTCTTTCCGGGGAGGAGGCACCTGTCTCTAGTTGGTGTGGCTGTTGACCGCCCTCAGCAGGGGCTTCCGCAGCCTGTTCAGGTTGGGTAGGTTCTGCTGCTTGGCCATCCCGTGCTGCTCCGGGCCCAAATTGCTGCTCCACCGAGTCGGGCTCGGTGCCTATGGAGGAGCTGACTCCCGAGTCAAAGCTTTCGCCCTTGGGCTCACTCTCAGTACCCTCAGCTTGGTCAGTGTCTTCCGTGCACTCCTCGGATTCATTGCGCTCCAGGATCTGCACCCTTTGCTGCCCATAGTAGTCATAATCGTCCTCCATCTCCTGCTTGATGTGGATGTTGCCCACCAGGGTCTGGATGCGCACAGGGCGGGGCTGCTTGCGGCAGTGTGTGGTCTCAGGGGTGGTGGACAGGTAGCGCTCCATCTGCTGTGAGCGCTCATGGATGCGTGTGATCCAACTGGGGTCTTCCATGTGGTGGTCCCGGGGCAGGCCAAGGGCAGTCTCATGGTGGCTGACCACCGCACCGCTGTAGAAGGAGCGCTCCCCGCTACCATTCTGCATGGAGCACGCATAGAGTGCTGAGTAGATCCTGTCCACGCTGTGCTGGGGGTGGCTCTGTAGGTAGCCCGACTCGGTGTCACTGCTCTGACCCGATGTGCCTGACTCGGGAGTGCCCCGTGGCGTGTCCTGGCCCGAGTCCTGGATCCCCGGAAAAACATCGCCCACATTCTGTGATACGATGCGCGTGCACTCATCAATGACTGTTTTGATCTGCAGGATGCTGGCGGCCGTAAGGATCTGCAGGGCTTCCGACTGGGAGACGCGCAGCACGCCGCTGTACATGAAGTCAATGAGCTTTTGCACCGACTGCACTGACACCACGGATGGGATCTCGATGTCACTGTAGCCCAGCAGCAGCTTGTCCTGGAAGAAGGGGCTGCCGGCTGCCAGCACGCAGCGGTGCGCGCGCAGCATGCTCCCGTGGATGCGAACCGTCACGTCACAGAAGTGGCCACGGTTGCGCTGCTCGTTGAGGGTCTCGAGCACGGAATTGCTGAAGTTGTGAAGGTTGATGCTGTGAATGCGCTCGGTCATCCCCTTGCAACTGATGTCACCTGCGTGGCAAGACAGACACAAAACAGTGCATGGGGTCATAGCGAACTGACTGCATTCCTAACACCTAGGACTTAGGTGGATAATGCTCACAGTTCTTAGAAGCAGCCCCCTGCAGACACAAGGCAGGAGGGGGTTGTGTAACTGTGGGGAGATGAACAGGCTATTGCACAGGGGTCATGCTGTGGGCATAAATGCCAATGGGAAGAATACTTGAATTTTGCTCCAACAGTGCCCTGGCTATTTCGGGTATTGAATCGATATTAATCCCCTAGAGTTTCTAGCAGGGTTGTCAGTTGAAGTAGAGCCACCTGGTAAATAGATGGGTCATTTGCCTGCTATTCTTACAACTTCAGCAATTAAGAACTGAGAGGCCATGGGACTCCTGTTCTCTTGGAACTCTACCTACACTTTAGACAAACCTAAGCCTGGATCCTTCGGGAAAGTTTACATTTCCCCCAATTTATCAACATTCCTTACTCTATGCATAGATTAACAACAATATTCATAGTTTAAAAGTACCCTTTCCTCCTATTATTTTATGTGGCATATTCCCCAAATTCACACCATGAAGGCAAAAAACTCTCCAACCCAGACTAAGATGTCCACTAAACAGCAGTTGCCCTGTTTTCCAGTTGAGGGGCAGCTATAGAAAACGCAACCTGTTCGCCAAAGGAGCACTTATCCACTGCTTTCTGTATCTCTCTGTAAGGGCAGGACTGGATACAGTGCAGGTTTTCTGATCCCATGCAGACCGGGTAAAGGAGGAGTCAGAGTCCTCAGTAGTTTTGCAGGTTTTTTATTTGGGGTTCACCAGGCATATGGCAGGCAGGGGTGCTGGCTGGGGGGCTGGGAGGCTGGCAGGCCTCCCAGCCCCCAGCAAGTCCTCACTCTATCTGGGCTCTCTAGCGTTCTCTGCTTCTGCTTCGGCTTCTCCTTCAGGTTCTGCTGCTGCTGGCTGGGGCTGCTAGCGTCCCCCCGTGACGCCGCCCTTAAAAGCACAGTCTTAGCTCAGCTGAATCCCATCTACCTATGCCCACACCCTATTCCAGGTGCCCACCATCAGGCATGCATTCAGGACAAGGATCCATCATCTATCCTGATGGCGGAAGGGCAGAAAAGCCTGATATTTTCTTTACCCTACAGTCCACCCCCTCAGGGTTTTCTGCCATACAGTCTATACATATATACACAATTTTCTAAGCAAACAAACAATGCAGCCATGGCCCACAAAAGCAAATACATCAAATAACAAAATACAACATAACAAAATACAACAGAACACAAATAAGTCCAGGCAGGGCACCAACCAAGTGCAAAAGACAATTATTGGTACCAGCAGATGAGCCACCAAATCTGCTGCCGAAGGCACTGCTCATACGAGGGAGGGGAAATCACACACGGCATCTGCTATAACACACCAGGAGCCGTCAGGCTTCCTGGCCTTCTCTGGCTGTAGTCTCGGCTACAAGGCACACACAGCATCCACCCCCAGGATGCACTAGCTCTGGGATTGGCAATTTTATTCTGTTGGGGGTAATCACCAACCCTCAGGGTTTCTGTCTGCAGTCGCTCCAACACTCGGCCTTCATGGCCACCCATGCGACTCACAGATCCCTGCACTCAAGCCAACCCACTGCACAATCACATGGGTAGGGGATCCAAACTCTGCATTCAGCTTGGGCTCCACCCCAAGCCACATTCCCCACCCGTCCCCCAAGGACAGGTTCCTCAGCTCCTCACCCTCACTCAAGAATGAGCAGGGCATCACCCATAGGTGATTTTACGAGACTCACAGGGCTTCAGCATACCCAGGCTGCTTAACAGCCGCTTTAGGGCTTCTCAACTTAGCATCAGTACCAGCTTTTGCCACCTTAGTTGGCTTTTCTCCTCCACCTGGCCACTGGGCATACACAGGCTGCTTTTGGCCATCTAGGCCCACTGGCCACCCCCAGATTCTCAAAAAATAAACATAACCTGCTAAGGTCCTCCGCCTTCTGGCGGGATTGTCAGTCCAAAATCATCAGTTCATCAGTCTATCAGTCCATTGGCCTCTCCCTGCTTCAGCAATGGCCTGCTGCCTCAGGGGTCATTGGCTGGTCCTTTCCGGTGTTGTTGGCTGGTCCTTTCCGGTGTCGTTGGCTGGTCCTTTCGGGCGTCTCCTTCACGCCAGGTCTCATCCTGTAGCTCGTGGACGTATCCATCTTCTATACCGCCATGGTGCCTCCAGCGTCGTCACAGGCAAAGTCTGTTCTCCTTAGTCCCTCCAGGTCTTCGGAGGGCTCCAATACCCGTCTGCATGGATCTTGCCGACATACGCCAATTGTAAGGGCAGGACTGGATACAGTGCAGGTTTTCTGATCCCATGCAGACCGGGTAAAGGAGGAGTCAGAGTCCTCAGTAGTTTTGCAGGTTTTTTATTTGGGGTTCACCAGGCATATGGCAGGCAGGGGTGCTGGCTGGGGGGCTGGGAGGCTGGCAGGCCTCCCAGCCCCCAGCAAGTCCTCACTCTATCTGGGCTCTCTAGCGTTCTCTGCTTCTGCTTCGGCTTCTCCTTCAGGTTCTGCTGCTGCTGGCTGGGGCTGCTAGCGTCCCCCCGTGACGCCGCCCTTAAAAGCACAGTCTTAGCTCAGCTGAATCCCATCTACCTATGCCCACACCCTATTCCAGGTGCCCACCATCAGGCATGCATTCAGGACAAGGATCCATCATCTATCCTGATGGCGGAAGGGCAGAAAAGCCTGATATTTTCTTTACCCTACACTCTCCATTCTTCTTGTCATCTCTGACAACCTGTTTGAGTACTTTCTAGGGTGGCGGTATGTAATATGGTATTAATCTGAATTTTCTGAGGCTTAAGGAAGAAGGAATGTTAAAAAGGTCAGACGTGGAAGCACTGACCTGAGAGATTGGAGTAACCTATACGATCATATTTATCACTCAAAGTTGGCATTTTTGACAGTGGAAGGGAGCACTATTAACAGTTAGTCCAGGGCAGCAGGAATAATCAGGAGTGGGTGGTATGACCACCCTGGCAATAGGATAGTATATACACTTGCTAGAGAGGAATTATCAAATAGGTCCAAGTAGGAAAGCAATAGATTCACACAGAATGTGGATAAACTGACCTACTGCTACCTTACACCATAGGAGCGTGCAGACAAGGAATAATGTTGGTAACATTTGGATCACAAAATGCAAAAGAAAATAGGTGCTATAACATTAAGCCTCAGGGATTTCCTTTTTTTTTTAACCTCTTGTCTCAAATGGCTCTAAACTTCCTTTCTCTAAATGAGTCTTTGATAGGATTCCCCTGATTTACTTCATTGAAGTAACACTGCCTTCTAACAGTAATAGGTTTCAGGTGTACAGCATTATAATTTGGCATCTGCATATACTACATTATGATCACCATGGAAAGTCCAGTTTCTTCTATTACCACGCAATTGACCCCTTTATACAATTTACTCATCCAATCGGCCATTTCCCTGTAACATCAGCTAACGGTTTTTGTTATCTTCCATAGAAGAGTGAAATCAACAGCAATTATAAAAAAGACAATAAACGACAAGTGTTGGCAAGGGTGTGGAGAAAGGGGAATGCTTGCACACTGTTAGTAAAAATGTAAACTGGTACAGCCATTATGAAAAACAATTTAAAGGTTCCTCAAAAAATCATGAATAAAAATACCATATGATCCAGCTCTTCTCCTTCTGGGTATTTATCCGAATATGAAAATACTGATTTAAAAAGATATATGTTCTCCTTTGTTCATTGCAGCATTATTTTAAACAGCCAAGATTTGAAAATAACCCTAGTGCCCATCAATGAATGAATAAATAAATAAGATGTGGCATATATACACAATGCAATATTCAGCTATTATAAAAAGATAAGATTTTATCTTTTGTAACAACAGGGATGGACCTAGAGGACCATCCTGTTGAAATAAGTCAGATGAAGAAAGGTTCCCCATTTTTTAAAAGATTTATTTATTTATGCATACAAGATTTATTTATTTATGCATACAGGCCAGATGTATGGGGGGGGGCGGGAGGAGAGTTCACCAGAGACAGAGTGGGGAACAGAACAGGCAGACTGACTGAAATACACTGCTGAGGGGAGCAGCGGGAGAGACAGGAGAGGTCTGCTGCACCATGTGGGTAGTTCCCTGGATGGCCGGGATCGAACTTGTGCTACCGATGCCGCAGATAGCTACATAGTGTTGTGTTTAACCCCTTGAGCCAACAGGGAGGTCCAGCTTCCCCTATTCTTGCCTTCACAAATAAACAATCAGCTCAAGAGTGAAGTGGGTTTTCAAAATCAGATGACACAAATGCTGACTGTGGATTTGTGACCCAGATCCCTATTAGAAGTAACACCACAAGTAATGTCCTACAGACACAAGTAATGTCCTACAGACACAAGGAATGCCCACCTCCTCAGATACTTTCTCCTCTGCCTGAGGAGACAGGACCTGCTGGGAAGGGTGAGCTCAACTAGCTCTTTAACCTTATGTTGTTCAGTCTCTCCCCCTCGCCTTCACACAAACACAGTCAATCCATCTCAGTGGGTGTGAATAGAACCTGTTATATATTCATTCATTTTCTTTGTTCTCATCTTCACATTTGGTTAGTCTCACATATATTCACTTAATAAATGTCTATTGGCTCTATGTTCATTTCAGGTGATACACTATGCAATAATTTTTATATAAGAGAGTTCCTTTTTCTGGCTTCCATCAGGCCTATTATTTGCCCAAAATATTGCATTCAGCTATGGTTTCTTCTTTTTTTCATTTATGGAAAACAGATCATCTTTATCAGATTGAAGAATTAACCGTGCTGTAACTGTGCTAATACAAAATAAGGCCTCAGAGGCAGGCCCCAATAATCCAGGAAGGAATGTTCAGGAAATCAGTCCATAGACTAAAGTCCAAATTCTTGCTGAGTCCCCCATGTATGTGTACACGATGATGACAAGAATAAAAAAGGGCAAACATTTTTTTAAGTGCTTACGAGGCGTGAAACATAGTTCTAAATACTTT